TAATTTTAAAATAAATTGTATGTCATGACATGTATAAATTGTAAATTCTAAAGTCATAATTATTATAAACAATATTTTGTTTCCCTCGCGATGAGTTCAACCTTTTGTCTTCGCTAGAACTGCCACGAAAGGTTATCTAAATGATGACGGCAATTTAATGTGTATGACGTAATGAAAATGAAAATGAAAAAGATATGTAGTGCAAGTATGTCGCTACATACCTCCCCCTTATATAAAAAATGTATTGTCAGTCATCAAAAGTCGATAAGGTGTTGATTGTTGCATATTTCTATATCTACGAGTACCTTCACCTTAATCAAAACAAAATTTTAATATGACTGTATATGAAATTGATTGAAATTTTTAATTTAATTGTCAAAAATATGTCATCAGTAATGTCAGTATTTTCTATAAATAATGTTGTATTTTAGATCGTGTTCTGGATGAATTATCCATTCTTTGATTATCGAAATTGCCCCGTTGTTAAGTGTTTAGTAATTCTATGTTATCTAGCAGGTTCTTTCTATTATATAAAGAATACTGCCATTGATACAATTAAGAATTACCATACTATTAGGACAATTAGTGTCCTAAATAGAAAAACATTAACGAAAAGAAGGCATTAATAGTTAAAAAATTCTACGATCTAATAAAAAGTAATGTTAATCATGACGTACAAATAGAAATATTTTTTGTTTTTTTTTTTAAGTATTTATTCTTTAAATATCAATGTGTAAATGTGCCTATTTGGTAAGTTAAAATTTCCTTTTCATTCAGTTATTTGTTTTTTATCAATGTGCAAAAAATGTACCTATTTGATAAGTTATTTGTTTTTATTTAGTAATTACTATTATGCAGACAGGTTCTTCCTTATGCGAAGAATACTGTCAATACAAGATATAAGTAAATACTGATTTTATTGTTCTTTTGGACAATTATGGTCCTTAATAGAGTAAAAAATATTAAATATACTAGTTACATGTAGTTGGACAATTAAGGTCCTTAATAAAAAATGCTAGTTGCATGACTTCGGTTATGTAGTGCTCATTTGCGTTTCGTTAATTTGTACGTTATTTTCTTAATTAAGTCGTCATGATTAGAATTGGTCATTTGTAGGGTTTATTAAATAAATAGTCGGTTAAAATGCTTTTTACATGGTCAAAAATATGAAAATAATGTCAAAAATGATAACTAATGATAGAAAAAATTAATATTTTCAATTCGTGGCAGTCAGCGACAAAAAGATTAAACTCACCGGGTTTAATGTATCTGGAGTCCAATCCACGTATCTTGTTCGGAACTTTTCGGAATTTTCCGGAGGCGTACTGGATCTACATTTCTTCTTAGTAGGGCCCGTTAAAGAATCCGGGTTATCGGGAACCGCAGCAGGCTCAAAAAACCGAGGTACGGCCAAAAATAAAGCCGTCGCTAACGCGTACTACCCATAAGTATCTCACCAACAAATAGTATCAGATAGATGTATCCTCAAAATCTTTGAAGGTCGGGCATTCTACGGGGTCACCAATTATGGGATCTATATATGTGGTATATCCCATCAATAAATAAATACGAATTCATGAAAATATAATTTTAAAATAAATTGTATGTCATGACATGTATAAATTGTAAATTAAAAACCAATTGTGGGATCTTTATATGTGGTATATCCCATCAATAAATAAATACGAATTCATGAAAATATAATTTTAAAATAAATTGTATGTCATGACATGTATATAAAATTGTAAATTCTAAAGTCATAATAATTATAAACAATATTTTGTTTCCCTCGCGATGAGTTCAACCTTTTGTCTTCGCTAGAACTGCCACGAAAGGTTATCTAAATGATGACGGCAATTTAATGTGTATGACGTAATGAAAATGAAAATGAAAAAGATAGGTAGTGCAAGTATGTCGCTACATACCTCCCCCTTATTCGTGGCAGTTCTAGCGAAGACAAAAGGTTGAACTCATCGCGAGGGAAACAAAATATTGTTTATAATAATTATGACTTTAGAATTTACAATTTATACATGTCATGACATGTATAAATTGTAAATTCTAAAGTCATAATTATTATAAACAATATTTTGTTTCCCTCGCGATGAGTTCAACCTTTTGTCTTCGCTAGAACTGCCACGAAAGGTTATCTAAATGATGACGGCAATTTAATGTGTATGACGTAATGAAAATGAAAATGAAAAAGATATGTAGTGCAAGTATGTCGCTACATAATTGTATAAGAATGATGGTTGAGAAGCTATCCACATACACAAATTTACACTGAGAAAAATATAGCTTTATCGTAATAGTCTTATAACTTGGTTCAAATGACATGTAGATAGCATTGTACACTTTTTTGCTTGGGATATGTTATCTAGTTTGCTCTTTTCTTCAGCCCTGATACCATGCTGGAGTTTCTCGAGCCGTCTGAGGGGGTACAATTGAGGGTGAATTGAAACAAAAAATCATAGAAGCAACAAATGGTTTTGCACACATTTCTGCTTGGGATATGTTATGTAGTTTGCTCTTTTATTTATCCCTGATACTATGCTGGAGTTTGTCGAGCCGTCTGAGGGGATGAAATTAAAAAAAAATCATAGAAGCCACAAATGACATTGTGCACCTTTCTGCTTGGGATATGTAGTTTGGTCTTTTCTTCATCCCTGATATCATGCTGGAGTTTCTCGAGCCGTCTGAGGGGGTGAAATTAAACAAAAAATCATAGAAGCCTCAGATTGCTCGACAAACTCCAGCATTGTACCTCCTCAGACGGAGCAAAAGTTAATTGCGGGTATGGTTGTTATGTATTGAAACCTCCACAATTAAAATCTGAAAATGAAAGCCTCTACGTGTCATTTGAACCAAGTTATATGACTATTACGATAGAGGTAAAATTTTTTCAGTGTACATTTGTACACTGGATAACTTCACACCCGTATAAGAATGTAGAAATATTTCACCTGAGACTCTTCAACATGTCCGAGAACAGTTTGAATATCGAATTACCACACTATGGAACCCATTTTGAACAATTTTCTAAGAAGTTACATTATTTAAATTAAAAACATTCCATACATTTGTGAAGTTAGGTACTTTAATTTTGACAATAATATAATAATGCAATAGAATTGCATAAGGATTACAAAAATTGTAAAAGAAATAAGGGTTGCAATTTTAAAATTTTAGGAGTAGGTGCCCTGGGGGTAAGGAAGTTGAAAGTAATACGACAATTGTTAGAGACAAATGTAATTTTTAAGTTTTTTCCTTAGATATTAAGAATCTGGACGGATCTGGCAACGGCGCTCTATGTTCCAGACATTCGGCCTCATTCTCCGGTTATTCGCAATAGTTTGTTAGCAGGAGTTTTTCTCTAAAACAGTGTGGCCCGCGGAGCCCTGGGACTCCGCAAAGCCTTTGTGGGGGCTCCGCGAAGAAAATAGTCATAATAAAAAAAGCGGTACTATCGCTACAAAAGGGTGGGACTTGGCTTGAGGACTTTTTGAGGAAGAACGATATGATTTTGGATTTTGCTTGGAGGACCTTTTTTTTAGAAGACTCCAAGAGGAAGGAGGATATGATTTTGTTATTTTTTGCTGGGGCTTCGCAAAGAAAGGGGGGACCTACCTCGAGGCCTGTTTTTTTTTTGGAGTCACTAAGAGAAAGGACGATATGGGCCGTTTTTTAGAAATGTGTTTAGGGTTCCGTCAAATATTTCGCTTTTCAAAAAGGTTCCGTCACCAAAAAAGTTTGAGAACCACTGCTCTAAAAGAATCGTTGTAATTAGTACGTAATAAGTTGCTGTTGTACTGTTTCTCATGTCTCAGCTTGTCGGAGAATAAAACAATTTGTGTTAAATAGTATTTTAGTTTTATCGAACCGGAGATCTCACCCAAAGCGGTGTTTTGGTGAGACTCTCTCAGTAACAATATATGCCTCAACAATTGTCCCCCTTGATAAGTATATTGAGATGTTTCGCCAAATTTTCATACTTTTGTAGAGGCAACATTAAATGCTGTTCGTTTTCAAATTAACACCCTGTATGTATTTCGTCGACACAATGCCAACTTAACCGGAGCAGTTTAGAATAAGGGTTGCTTCTCACTACTAAAAAAAGAACATGTCGATGGCGTGGCGTCGTATTGCTGGGTAGTAATAAATTTTGCATAAAATTTACAGAAAAAAAATGTAAATATTTTCTAAATGTATTTTGTAATCTGGTATTTTTGTAATCTGGCATGGCAGTTCTACGCTTTCATATTAAGATATCCTTTTCCTATTAATTATAATAGAGGCAAGGGAAACGCACGCAGATGCTCTGTCAAGATCGGCGTCAAGATATAAGATTTACTCAGATGAATATGTCTGAAATTAAGGAGGTATATCTATTTCTTTCAGGAATTTCTGAAGGGTTCTGGCAGATTACCCAATCAGGGCTCTTCTCAATCAGAATTGGAATTCAGCTTGCTTTCCCTCCGCTTGGGGTACGCATGGCGGCATTGAAGCGCAGATGGGTCATTATTTCACCAGTTGGATGTCCTACTCCTTCCTATTTATTCGGCTCATGCATTTTTGCATCCATTGTACGGTCTAAGCGGGCTCCGAGCTGTGCAAATTCGAATACCATTTAACCACAAATTTGTTAATATTTGGTTATGGGTTTAATGTATAAATTAATTTTATTTCTATAAATTTATTGAATTTACCACTCATGAAATTTAACCTCAAGCCGTAAACAGGGCTACACTGCTGGGAACTTGTGATCGATGTGTTGAATACATTTCACAGCATCTACCAATATTTAGATCACCATAATTTTTCTTCATCTACAAAATTGTTACCAGTTATTATTTCTACTATTTCCCACTTTACTGATTTGTTTGTTCGCATTTTCACTACACTACATCAGTTACTGAACAATTTTCTCCTAAAATAAAATTCCTTATATTTTTTCAACTGCCATTTTGGCGATTATCATAAAACCATATATATCTTTTCAGAAGTAGAATCCGGTCCTAACGACAGCCTACTAGTCCTAGAAACCAAATTCCAAAACGTAGGTCAAGTCGTGATACGGCAAGAAGAAGAAATCTCGAAACTTAACGCACTTTGTCGATCCTTGCAAATGGAGTTAGACAAAAATATAGCAGCACAAAGGATTTTAGTTCAGCAACAGCAAGACTTAGAATTGGAGAGCATAGAATTACAAGATTTCATGCAAGCTGAAAAGACGACTTTGCACGACGCTTTGAAGGAGTCTGAAGCCGAAGTTCACAGGAATCAGTTGATCATTCAGGCTAAAAATAAGGAAATGGCCGAAAAGCAAGAAGAATGTAAACAGCTGGTAAGTTCATGTTATAGTATATTACAATATACTGTAAAAGGTCTTTACAAAAACATACCACATATTCCTTAGACCAAAATAAGTCGATTTAAGTAAAATTACCTTAGTACACAGTTGCTTCGTTTGGTCTCCAGAGGGCCTTGAAGTTACAATTTTTAAATCGTTTTTCCCATATAAATTTAAAACGGCATATGCGATTTTGCTGTAATTTGGTATATTGGTAGAGTTTTATGTGGCAAAAAAATGGTATTAAAATTTTGTCCGATAATAATACATAGGCGTAGAACTTGATTTTTTAAATAATTGCACCTTTAAAAATTCTACGCCAATGGAAGAAAAGGAGTTTGAGTATGAAATTTAGATTGCGCAACTCATTTACTTTAAAAAAGGTACTCTTGATAAGACTCGATTACTCTCATGGTTTTCGCTAAATTTCTGTTTTAATAATTTAGAGTGTATAGGTTTCACAAAAATATTTATTTACAACATAATCAAAATAGAGATTTTACAAAAATTGTTCAAAATGTTCACCATTTCACAAAGATTTATACGTCGAAGTTAAAATGTATCCTTTCCATAACTTCTTCATCACCTCTAAGATTGTTTATTGCATCTTGGATACGTTGCCAGAGTTGTTCCTCATTTTCTACAGGTTCCCTGTAAACTGTGGATTTCAGATGTCCCCATAAAAAGTAATCCATTGGTGTTAGGTCTGGGGAACGTGGTGGCCAGTTTACAGGTGCGACATTACCTCTGCCTATCCATTTGTGTGTATATTGTTCATTCAAGTGGTTTCTAACGTTTAAAGAAAAATGTGGTGGAGCTCCATCTTGCATAAACCACATATCTCTCCGAAGTTGGAGGGGTAAATCTTCTAACAATTCTGGCAACGTATTTTGTAGAAAATCCAAATAATTTTTTCCAGTTAATCTTCGTGGAAGTATGAAAGGACCAACAATGAAATTACCAATTATTCCAGCCCACACATTAAATTTTGAATTCGTGCTGAAAATGGTTTACCTTTATTGCATGCGGATTTTCAACGGCATAAACATGTTCATTATGGGTATTAGTTATACCTCTTCTTGTAAAACCCGCTGCATCGGTAAAGAGAACCTCCTTGACAAAGTTTGGATCTCTTTCTCTTTGCATATTAACAAATCGACAAAAACCCAAACGAATTTGAGGATCATGGACTAATAATTCTTGTACTGGCTTCTTATGGTATGGATATAGCAATTGTTCTCTAAGCAATTTATGTACGACATCTTTACTTACTCCTAGTTCCCTTCCAATTCGTCTGGTGCTTAATTCTGGATCTTCTTCAACACGTTCTAAAATGTCTTCTTCAACTTCAGGAATCCTTACAAAACGTTCTCTCCCATTATCAACAGTGTTGGGAGCAAAGGAACCGGTCTCCCGAAGACGTCTCTCAACAGCAGCAAAAGTTGGGTGGCTAGGTACATGACGATTTGGAAACCTTTTAGAGTACACCCTGACACTCTCTCGAGCATTTCCTTCACAAAATCCTAATGTCAGTAACATATCGGTATATTCTGCATTGGTATATTGTACAGCCATATTAATAAACCACGCATTTGTTTTTTTAATTATTGAGTCAGATAGAACACTTTCAATCATTAATAAGAGATTAGGTGTTAAAACTTGACAATATTTTTATTTAGATGAAACTATGGAAACCAACAATAAATGTTTTTGTATACGTATTGCAGGCAAATAATTAATATTCCTCAAAAAATCGTACATGGCAAGAATCGAGTATTTTTGTTAAAAGTCTCGATTAGAGGTGTTGAAGAAGATATGAAAAAAGTACATTTTTATGTTTTTCATCGTATAAAATTTTGTCCGATAATAATACATAGGCGTAGAACTTGACTTTTTAAATAATTGCACCTTTAAAAATTTTACGCCAATGGCAAAAAAGGGGTTTGAGTATGAAGGGTACTCATTTACTACAAAAAAGTACCCTTGATAACCCTCGATTTACTCTCATGGTTTTGACAAAATTTGTATTTTAATAATTATTGTTTATGTTCTAAAATTACTAAAATGCAAATTTCGTCAAAACCATGAGAGTAATCGAGTCTTATCAAGAGTACCTTTTTTAAAGTAAATGAGTTGCGTAATCTAAATTTCATACTCAAACTCCTTTTCTTCCATTGGCGTAGAATTTTTTAAGGTGCAATTATTTGAAAAATCAAGTTCTACGCCTATGTATTATCATCGGACAAAATTTTAATACGATTTTTTTTGCCACATAAAACTCTACCAATATACCAAATTTCAGCAAAATCGCATATGCCGTTTTAAATTTATATGGGAAAAACGATTTAAAAATTGTAACTTCAAGGCCCTCTGGAGCCCAAACTAAGCAACTTTGTACTAAGGTAATTTTACTTAAATCGACTTATTTTGGTCTAAGGAATATGTGGTATGTTTTTGTAAAGACCTTTTACAGACGGAATACTTTTTAAAATTACTTTTGCACAAGTCATTATTTTTCCTTCGACAAATATACAACCAGGTAATCTGCCAATGCATGTTCGATCTAGATATTGCTATGTTCAGTGTTGGATTACGGAATTGGGTTCGATTCCCGATCAAAAAATATAATTTCAGAAAAAATTCAAATTGAACAAACTACATACGTGTAAAAAACAAATCGATTTTATTTCTTTTACTTTTAATAAAGACATTAACCTCATAAATCAAAATATAAATAAATGATGGTGATATTTGATAGCTTATGCGGAAATTAGATTCTTATCCACACATGGGCTAAAAATAGATTCACGCTTGTAATATAGGGCACTTTCCATAGGACTACACAGAGTAATATTTTTTTTTCAAGCATGTCTCATAATTATATTTTCTATTTGCATGTTGTGTTTCATCGACCAGGGGTCCTTTTCCGTTCCCTTTTATTTAATTTTCTATTATTAAAAAAATATTTAGAACTTCTTTTTACTTCTTCAAACTTCAGAAAGTAGTATTAGGCAGCTGATGGAGATTTAGGTATACGATTTTGTCGTTATGGCATGATGTACGGGGAGTTAAAAAAATAGTATAAAATATTTAAAGAGGTATGTTATATTGGGAATGGGGTATTAATACACTGCGACCTAAACTATTTGTTGTGCCCCTTTCTATCATTAATGCAGAAAGGAAATAGTCTCGATGTCTATAACGACCCTTCCAATCCTATATTCTCAAGGAAGTTTAGAATTAGCAGTGGCTTCAAGTTAGGTAGATTGTCCCCTTCTATTTAGTATGCTCCTAAGTATAGTGCCCTTGAATTCTGGATTGCTACACATTCAGTCAGAATGTGAATGGAGGATTCGTCCTCCTTCTCATAGAATCTGCACCGTCTTCTACCACTCTCAGTTTACTAAGGTGTCTTCTGAGTCGGCAATGTCCGATAAGGATCCATAATACAATGCGTAACCTGTTCTTGCTTCCGATCTTTTTTGGTTATACTCACTCAGAAGTATCTTAGTCCAACAGGTTGATCCAATTATTGGTTTCTATTTCCCAATTCTTCTTTAATCTCTCCTAATATTGTGTTACTACTGATACCATAAAACGGTTCTGGTATCACAAAGGGTATTTGAGCCCCTTTCGTTGTTAGACTATCTGCAATCTCATTACCCTTTACCCCATTTTGTCCCGGTACCCAAGTGAGAGTAACTGTATTTTTTCCTCGCCTAGCTTATTCAGTTTTTCTAGCATCTCTGAAGCTAATTACGTCAGAGTTTAGCGCTTTTATGGCTGCTTGACTATCGGGCATGATAGTTTCTCTCAATGTTTAACTGGATACATTTCTCAATGTCGTGAATTTTTGCTAAAAAGATGCTTGGGTACTTACCCAATCTTTCAGAATGCCTGGTTCTAGGCCTATTCACTCCAGTTGCTTCTATAGTTTTGGAACCATTCGTATACCACTGAATAGCATTTCCTTTGGTTACAAACCCGATGGATTCTTGGCTCCATTCTTTCTTGCGGCTTAGCTCTGTGGTTTTGAAGTTTTCCTCAAGACTGTACTTTTTTATCATTTCATCCTGGGACATATCCTAAGTATCTTCGATCTTGATTACGCCGTCTGATTACTTCATTAAATTTAGAGAGGTGTGGTTTAAGATCACATCCATTCCGCCCCTTGGACAAGTTCTCATAGCACCGGTGATGCAAACACAGGCTAGTCTTTGTACTTTTAAGTAGTAGTAGTAGTTAAACTAGTTCTGTTACTCCAGACTACAGCCACGTAAGTGATAATTGCTGTATACATCCATCGCAATATGTTCAGGTTATATCCCCTTCTTTTAATGTTTCTACATAACATTGAAGCGTTTGCGGGCTTATTTCTATCTATCTGAATTAGGGCGTAGTTGTTCAAAGCCTACTTATACTGAAGCTCTAGGCCTATTGTAACCCTCACAGTTTCTATACTATCAGATTGATTTTCTTGACGAATTCAAGAATATGTCTGATTAGCCCTTTCGCGATTTCTTCAGGTTCCGTATATTGTACCCCGAAGTTCCATTCCCGTTCCCATTTAAGGTTCCGACAGTGACATAGTATATGAACAGGAGTTTTCGTTCTCCTCTTCAAATATTCTGCATAGGGAGTCATCAGATATCCCTAAGATATTTAGGTGTCTTCTAAGGCCGCAGTGTCCCGTAAGGAGTCCTATTACGGCCTTGAGTTCGCTTCTGTTGAGGTTTAGCAGTTGATTTTGTCTGCTCGTGGATAGCTCCTCTATGAATCTTTTGGACTGTCTAAATCCAGGAAGTTCCAACCAGAGCCTATGGTGTTCTCTATTTATTTATTCCTTTAACACCCATTTAACATGTTGGTATGAGATACCACATGTGGGTTCTGGTCCAATAAGGGTTTTTCCCGCTCCCTTCCTTGCTAGAAGTTCTGCTTTCTCGTTTCCAAACACTCCCTCATGTCCTGGCACCCATTCAAGGGTGACCTTGTTATGTTTTGCCAGGGCCTGGAGGGACTGTTAGCAATAAAGTATTGATTTAGATTCCACTTCTACCCTTTTCAGTGCTTTAAGGGTTGCCTGACATGATAAATACCCTCTTATCTCTAAAAGAGTAATTTAGCATGACTTTGGCGCCGGCATTTATTACTGTTACTTCAGCCTAGAAGACTGTTGTCAGTGACCCCAAGTTCAGACTAATTGTCCTCCCTGAATTCACATGGCAGATCCCGGTTCCTGTGCTGTTTTTCATTTTCGAACCGTCTGTATACTAGATGGATTCGTTTTGTTTTCCCTGCTTTTAGCACTTTCCGGTATTTGAAGTGGGCTTATTTACTACTTCTTATCTATGTGTCCAAGGTAAGGCCTAGATATTTGATTTCTTTTATCCATTCTATATCTATCCCATCTAATTTGACGGTTTTGAGATTGATTTTTCATTTTCTAGAAAAGGTTGCTCGTGTTGTTTTGGTGGGGTTTATACCAAGTCCCACATCGCGGCACCATCTTTTGGTGTGTTCTAGTCCTCTTTGGATTATCACACACGATATTTCCAAACTTTCCTCTAGGAAATATTAATATATCATCGGCATTACCTTGCCGAAGTCAGTCAATCTACAAACAGTTAGGCTCCACATTAGTTCTTGTGGACCTCCTCTGTTTGTGCAGATGCAGATGGTGTCCTGCCCTATCTGTCTCTATGCAGTTCTCGTAGATATCAGCTGATCCATCCATTTAGTGTGGTGCTATCTACTCCTGTTTTAACAGATTCGTGAGGCGTGTTGTCAAACTCTCCTTATATGTCTAAGAAGGCACACACTATCATTTGTTTGTTTGTCAGTGCATCCTGGATTTCATCAGTCAGCTGTACCAGGACAGCTTCTGTCGAGCTTCCTGCTCGGTAGTGTATTGGCTGTGGTGGAGTGGCACCCTTTCCAGGATTTCTGTTCTGATATAATTATCAACAGCCTTCTTCATTGTTTTTAATACAAAGGAGGTGTATATCCAAGTTACAGACTACGGGATATCCGGTTTATATGTGGTAGTAATTCCTCCTGTACTCACTAAAGCAGGACAGGAAATATTATATCCACACCTGGAGACTTAAATGGTTCAAAAGAGTTTACGGCCTACTTTAACCGATTGCTGCTGCATATGTGTTTGACCATTGCTGTGGCCTCTGAACGGTCTGCTTACGTTCCTTGGGTCCCTTATTAAAAAAAGTATGCCCAGGGTAGTGAACTCTCAGTGAAGGTTCTATTTGGTTTCTTTAACGCCATAGCTGTATCAACTCTCTTTTTTGCCAGTTTCGTTGCCGCAGCTGTAGAGTTAATCTACTAGCAGAATTTCCTGAAGTGTCTCGGTGTAGTTCTGCCAATCTCCGCATTGCTTGGCCCTGTTATAGAGCTTCCGCACTTCTGATCGTGAGTTTGACAGTTTCCACCAAGGAGTATCCCTACTAGTTCTATTTGTTTGAATGGACCAGCTTGATTCATATTCCTCTAGTATTACCTCATTTAGTTATTCTAGATCGCTTTCCAGAGCAAGTGGGTATCTGGGCCCCTTTTTAGTCTGGATACGTGCTAAATTTTGTTTTAGTGTAGTGTTGTGTTTGTCCCAGTCTGTTTTTCTAGAATTCCTTCTGATTATCGTCTCAGGAGTATTGCTCTCCAACTTACACACAATTATCTTGTAATCAGATAGAGATGGTTCACTTGATACTTTTCAGTTTGTAACTAGATCTTTAATGCTCGGTGTACGTAATTGATATCTAATACCCCTTTTCTAACTCTTGTTATAAATGTAGTGGAATTCTTAATGTTGTGCACAATAAGGTTCTTATTAAAAATATATTCTAGAAGTTGCTCATCTCTTTGATTCTTGTCGTGCTTCCCTATGGTCTGACGTCGCATCCAAGAAGTAATGTCAGATTTCTTCTCTGGCAGTACTCCTCTAGCCTCCATACTTCCGGGGATGGTTCAGACCCATCTCCGGCAAAGTAATTAGAAGCTATTACTATGTCTTACTGCCTCGTCCAAATTCAAACGAGAATCCCTGTCATGAATTCTTGTTTTCGTAGACCCATGGTTTATGGATCAGTAAGATCCCTGATTAGTCTTTAGTTAATGTTCTGGAAATCATAGCCGATGCTCCCTTGGCGTGATGCACATTCACTTGGTCGATGATAAGCCTGCCATTTTATTTCTCATTGATAAGGTCCTCAGATGAGTCAGGGTAGAGAGTTGAGTGTCATTCTTATCGGTGGATGTACCGAGAGTTCTTCCGGTTCTTTTGCCTCATCCTTCTTTTGAAGACGTAAGGGAATTTTCCCGAAACTATAATGGATAGTATATCCATTATTTCTGATCCTCTGTCTGGATAGGTCATCTATTCCTACCCTGAGGATTTAGCATTTGCCCTCGTCTCTCATACTGACGATCTTTCACAGCGTGGTCGATAGCCTCATATTATGTGGTGCTTCTATTGCACAAGCTTCTCTACAGTCTGCCCTTGAGTTTTGGTGAGAAAGGTGTGCTTTTGGGATATCGTTGCCGCACATACTTCCAGTTCAACACTCCCTTCCAATTCAAGTGTGGGATTTTAACCTTGAGCCATTCCGCTGACTGTGGAGTTTCACAGTCGATTAGTACCATACCTGGGGATCGATTCTCTATTGTATCCATCGGAAATTTATGACAGTTTCCTACACATAAGAAAGTGTCATAAATTCTTATAGGAAAAGGTTCCTACAAGTCGAGAATCAAATGAATGCCTCCGAATTGAAGCTTGTCCGGAGAACATTTTTTCCACTACCGCAAGATAAAATGATATAAAAAATATCTGACGCCAGAGCTATGTTTGCTTAGACATTACTAGTGTCAAATAAAAAATATTAAAATATATAATTGAATGTTATTTTCTCTTGCAGAAGAAGGTGAGCGAGCAAAGAAGACAAGAAAACGTGAGTCTACACGCTCGACTAGGAGTTTTGGAGACTAAATGTAGAGAATTGTTGGTTCACCAAGGTAGTTCGGTATCTGGAGCTGCCGTGGCTCTATCAGCTCTCATTGGCAGATTGGACGGACTTGTTGAAGAACTGGTTGCAGCTTATACCATTTCGGATCAGGAATTAGATGTAAGTTTTTAGTATTAAGCAGCTATATTTTATTATTTTAATTGTGTTACCAGATAAGGAAAAAACTAGTTTTAATGGTTTCTGCTTATTAGTAAGACTTATTGACAGTGACATTTTCCGCTCAATGGCGGAAAAGCTGTCAAATAACGACAGATCGCTGAAAAAGTGTACTATTGATTGTAACTATAAATAAATAAAATAATATTTTGATTACGAGTGTATAATATAAAACAATATCATCACATATTAAAGTTAACTCAACAAATATTATATTACGGATTATTCTATCAAATAAAATCTACATTACTCAATAAACAGTTCCATAAATAACTTCTTATGAGCAATTAAAAAATACATAAAAAATACCGGTTTATAATAATCACAATCACTGTAACCAAATCTCAAGTTCAACCAGAAATAGGAAAAAATATCCTTAGCCTGAATAGGTCAACTTTGCAATGACAAACATTAAATTCAATTATTCAATTAAAAGCCAATTAAGGCTATATTGGCTCATGCACCATTTAACGGCAGACATTGGCGTCGCTACCTGAAAAGAAGAAGGGATATTTTTAATACTTTTAATAGTATAAATATTTAATAACTCTATTAAGCCATAGACTTGTCCACATATAAGGTTGGAAATACCATAATTGACCATACTATTTGGAAATTGGAAACAGATCTTACCACACAGGTCCCACAAGCGTCAACACTTGTTTACTATTGTAATCAGGGCATACCACCCTGAAAAAGTGAACTCCTATTATAGCAGGGTATCACGAAAATAAAATGTCCTAGAAAAAAACTAAAAAAAACTTAAGTTGAAGTAAATATTAAACTAAAAAAAAAAAAAAAACCACTAAGGGCTGCATCTGGCATTGGGAACTGTTTATCTGCGCAATTTCGGGAATCCGTTATGTCCTATGTCGGCAGATATTAAATCATTAACGAAGTATTGTGTTTTTCGTAAAAAAATCTATTATTATAAGCTCGATTTCAGGAAAACTAAACATTATTTTCCGGTTTTAGTTGTACTGGTTCTAATGGAAATAAAAACTGCAAATATATTTAGTTTTGAAGGAGATTTGAAGGCAAATTTACGAAAGCGTAGAAAGGCCACAAAATATTATTCCGATTTAGATCTTAGAAAGATCGTTTGTTCTGACTTAGAGCTCGAAAAAAAAATAGATTAAAACTCAGAAAAATCGATTTTTCTGACATAGAACTCGGAAAAATAGATTATTCTGATTTAGAACTTAGAAAAATCGTTTTTTCTCACTTAGAACTCGGAAAAATAGATTATTCCGATTTAAAACTTAGAAAAATCGTTTGTTCTGACTTAGAGCTCGAAAAAAAAATAGATTATTCTTATTTAAAAAACAGAAAAATAGATTTTTCTGACATAGAACTCGGAAAAATAGATTATTCCGATTTAGAACTTACAAAAATCGTTTTTTTTTTACTTAGAACTCGGAAAAATAGATTATTCCTAATTAGAAGAACTTAGAAAAATCGTTTTTTCTGACTTAGAGCTCGAAAAAAATTGTTTATTCCGAATTAGAACTTAAAATCGTTTTTTCTGACTTAGAACTCGAAAAAATAGATTATTTCGAATTAGAACTTAGAAAAATCGTTTGTTCTGATTTAGAGCTCGAAAAAAATAGAATATTCCGATCTAAAACTCAGAAAAATCGATTTTTCTGACATAGAACTCGGAAAAATAGATTATTCTGATTTAGAACCTAGAAAAATCGTTTTTTCTCACTTAGAACTCGGAAAAATAAATTATTCCGAATTAGAACTTAGAAAAATCGTTTTTTTTTCTGACTTAGAACTCGAAAAAATAGATTATTCCGAATTAGAACTTAGAAAAATCGTTTTTTCTGACTTAGAACTCAAAAAATAGATTATTTCGAATTAGAACTTAGAAAAATCGTTTGTTCTGACTTAGAGCTCGAAAAAAAAAATAGATTATTCTGATTTAAAACTCAGAAAAATAGATTTTTCTGACATAGAACTCGGAAAAATAGATTATTCCGATTTAGAACTTACAAAAATCGTTTTTTTTTTTACTTTGAACTCGGGAAAATAGATTATTCGTAATTAGAAGAACTTAGAAAAATCGTTTTTTCTGACTTAGAGCTCGAAAAAAATTGATTATTCCGAATTAGAACTTAAAATCGTTTTTTCTGACTTAGAACTCAAAAAATAGATTATTTCGAATTAGAACTTAGAAAAATCGTTTGTTCTGACTTAGAGCTCGAAAAAAAAATAGATTATTCTGATTTAAAACTCAGAAAAATAGATTTTTCTGACATAGAACTCGGAAAAATAGATTATTTTGATTTAGAACTTACAAAAATCGTTTTTTTTTTTTTTACTTAGAACTCGGAAAAATAGATTATTCGTAATTAGAAGAACTTAGAAAAATCGTTTTTTCTGACTTAGAGCTCGAAAAAAATTGATTATTCCGAATTAGAACTTAAAATCGTTTTTTCTGACTTAGAACTCGAAAAAATAGATTATTCCTAATTAGAAGAACTTAGAAAAATCGTTTTTTCTGACTTAGAGCTCGAAAAAAATTGATTATTTCGAATTAGAACTTAGAAAAATCGTTTTTTTTTTTCTGACTTAGAACTCGAAAAAATAGATTATTCCGAATTAGAACTTAGAAAAATCGTTTGTTCTGACTTAGAGCTCGAAAAAAAAATAGATTATTCCGATTTAAAACTCAGAAAAATCGATTTTTTTTGGCTAGAACTTGTAAAAATAGATTATTCCGTTTTAGAACTTAAAAAAATCGTTTTTCTGACTTAGAACTCGGAAAAATGGATTATTCCGAATTGGTACTTAGAAAAATCGTTTTTTCTGACCTAGAACTCGGAAAAATAGATGATTCCGAGTACTACTTACTTCGCTATCAACCAGTAAACATATACAGGTTATTTAAACAAGTTAGAAATGTTGATAACTCCGATTTGAGTTAGTTGAATTTATCAAAGTCGGTCTTGTTAAAATGGGATTTTCTTTTTTAATCTTTCACATCAGACCTGAGATAATACCTTGCTTTAATAGTTTTACAGTGACTCCTAAAGAGCGCTCTTTGACAATTCAATAAATAATTATTACGGATTTTATTGAAAATGTTATATACTTTTTTACACAAAGAGGAGGAAATTTCTAAAGTGTTTGCAACTCGTTACATAGTATCTTTTTCTTTATCGAAGAATCAACAAAAGAAATGCGAGGCCCTTAATAACACTGATTTTCAAAGTCGACTCTCGATCGTCGATGTATTGAAATAAAAATTGCATGACATAAAAGTTAATGTTGACCTTTTAATATAAATTAATTTTGTCATGGTACATTTTTATTATAATATTTCGAGAGACGCTAGATTGGTGGTTCTGGCTAGAACTTGGAAAAATAGATTATTCCGATTTAGAACTTAGAAAAATCGTTTTTCTGACGTAGGGAAAAATATATTATTCCGAATTTGAACTTAGAAAAATCGTTTTTTTTTTTACTTAGAACTCGGAAAATAGATTATTCCGATTTAGAACTTAGAAAAATCGTTTTTTCTGACTTAGAACTTGGAAAAATAGATTATTTCTAATTAGAACTTAGAAAAATATTTTTTTCTGACTTAGAGCTCGAAAAAAAAAATAGATTATTCTGATTTTTATTATATTTCGAGAGACGCTAGATTGGTGGTTCCCTACTTATCGAGACTGAAGTCTATATGGGTAAACGTAAAATAAGCGATTTGATTTTAAACGCAAGACTAAAATAAATCAATTAGAAGTAATGAGACGTTGAATTAACAGGTTTGTGAAGCATTGATGTTTTTCAGAACCATTTTATGTCGTCTTTTGATTAGGGTTTGCAAAATTGTTTGAACAAATTATGTAAAAATGTTTGAGTTATTTTCGCTTTAAGCCTGTCCATGTAAAAATATTAGTATCTGTACCTTTATATATTTACCTCTTTGACTCTTTACATATTTACCTCTTTACTTATTTACCTCTTTTCCTATTTACCTCTTTTCTTATTTACCTCTTTACTTATTTACATCTTTACCTATTTACCTCTTTATATATTTATCTCTTTACCTTTGTCTCTTTACCTTTGTCTCTTTACCTCTTTACATCTTTACCTCTCTAATTATTTACCTCTTTACCCTTTAAGTTTCCCTTGTGAAAATGTATGGACAGTTTACCCCCTTAATTTTGTTCAAGTAAAAATATTTAGATCCTTTACCCTGTACGTCTGTCCATATAAAAATATTATGTTTTAAAAATATAAAAATATTTAAGATTCTTATTCCTTATGTTTGTCCATGTAAAAATGATATTTATGCCCTTTACCATTTATGAGCTCCATTCTGGAATTCGTTAAAGCTCGTGAAAAATCATAGTTACTTCATCATCCTGTATGTTCCTCGCGTAAGATCAACTTAAAACAATTATTTTTACTTATCTATCACTTTTTCTTACAGTAGTTAATAAATACTCAGATTAACTCCTTAAAATGACGTTTAAAAAACTTTCATTACTTAATTTTTGAGAATGACAGCTGTGGTTTTAGAGTTGACATATATCAATCTATTGAAATCGAAACATCTATAGTTTAAATAAAAGAGGAGTGCAGTAAAAGTGGGGATATAACGTCACATTCCATAGGCACCACATACTTTGATTTTCTTTTACTATACGGAGAATGGTCGCACTGCGCAGCTTTCTGAGTGCCTTTTAAAAGGAGATAGAAAACTCCGCCATTTTGAACCCTTATTACGTGTTGCCTACATCTAGGCGCAATATTTTTAATAGGTGCGTTTTAATTACCGCTTCTGCTTCGGAATTGTCGGTTGTCTTGTTTTAATCTGACAGGTTAAAATGACTAAACCGACAATTCCGGAAGCAGAAGCGGATGATTAAAACGCACCTGATATTTTGCTTGCTGCTGTCAGTGTCAGTGAATATTATTTTTTGAGTCAC